CTTGTTTTGATGATGTATCTTGGGTTCTCAACCCGCTGATGTTTTTGGTCACCAGACAACGAATGTGACACAAATCGGCGAAACAGTTTTTTTTTTTTTTTTTTTGTGGGCCAAAATCTTGCACAAAAAAAAATATTATTAATGGTCTCTCTATTAACGCCAGATTCATCTGCCATCATCCTCATTGTAAAAACAACGATTTTTTTGTATCCATTCTCTGACTTTTGCAATGAGTTTATCATTACGAGTGAGTCGCCGTGGCTGATCGGATGGTTTGCTACCTGGCGGAACCGTACTAAAAAAAAAATGACCTTGGCTCCCAGGTCGACCCAGTCTTTAGTGGATACCGGGTGTAGTCCCGGGAAGTAGAGGCGGCCGGCGTGATGCTGACCACATCACCCATCTTGTGCTGATTGGTCTATAAAAAATATAGGGCTAGCCCTATATGGCCTAAAGGCGTGGAACAGGGTTCTTTACTTTTTTCTCATCATTACGAACATAAATTTGGCGTCCAGGTCTAGGTGCATTAGTGATCATTATCACACTACTGTTGAATCGTGAAGATAAGCTGAAAATGTGTGCACGAGATAAACAATTATTCCCATAAACTTGTTTCATCAATTTGACTGTTTCAATAGCGCTTTTTTCTGAGTTTTAAAAAAAAATAATTTAATGTTATCTTTTTGCTTCGGGCTGATTACGTAACAATGCATTTTTGACTACATCAACAAAATGGCGGCTTGTTTGTTGCCTGCTTATCGAGCGGCGATGAAAATTTGCCAGATCATAGATGAATGTTGCCTCTTTAGATTCCAAATTTTGCTTCATTGATGGCATTTTTGTCTTGGCCATAATAAAATCAGTCTTATTACTTAATTGTCGGACTTTGTATTTGCCATGTACCAGACGATTTACGGCAGTCAATGGGAATTGTCTGGGAAAGGGAGATAAATAATAAACCAACTGGCTAGAGCCATTTAGTATGCAGGGGTCTGTGGGGAAGGGGGGGGGGAGGAGTAGCTTAGCCCCTACTTATGCATTTTCTGAGAAGAGGTAAAATGGGGAGGGGGGTCCTAATGACCAAATCCATGTTTAAGGGCCTAAATAATAATAGTAATAATAATAATAATAGTAATAATCAAAATAACAATAATAATATAATAAGAACACTCCACAGGGGAGCATACACAGCAGGAAACTACCGGTTGTCAGTAGAAGATCCTCCGTCGACGATTCTTTCGACCCGCTATCATCCTTAACAATCTCTGAAGGTGGGCCAAGGCCGTTCTGGGCCCCTAGTAGGAAAGAACTTAAAATCCCTTCAGAAGGTGGGCATCGATACAACTGGGAGGAAAACATCACAAGATGGACGGACAGAAATCTGAGAGAGTGCACAATCAGGGCAAGAGATTTTGCGTGTTGGAGATTTATTGCAGCCAACCTTCACTGATTGATTGATTGATTGATTGATTGATTGATTGATTGATTGATTGATTGATTGATTGATTGATTGATTGATTGATAAAAAGTTGATTCGTAATTTTTACTTCAGTATATTTACATCTTGGACCAAGAGGTGAATAAAAGACGCAGACGTTGGATTAGACACACATTGGGAAAACCGGAGAACAAAATAACTCGAATGTCCTTGCACTGGTACCCACAGAGGCATTTAAATTATGAAAGGCAAAAAAAAAAAAAATTTACATTGAGAAGGGAGCTAGATGGGGAGGACATAGGGAGATCTACATGCGATAGCAGAGGATAGAACGACATGGCATAAGTTGGTTGAGGGCCTATGTTTCATTGGGAGCTAGAAAGACACAAGAAGAAGATATTTACAAACTACGGAGATCCAGTGGGACTTTCTAATTCGCTTATTCATAATCCAGGGTTCGGCACAATGCAGCAGAGTTAAGAACAATGGCGCATGCAGGGTACGGTAGGCAGGGCAGACGCAGTAATTGTTTTACCTTTTCACACGTTTCTGAAGCATTCGGCAGTACTTCTTGGTTAGTTAGTCTTTTTCCTATTGAGCCTGGAGTGTCACATAGGGCAGATGTCATTGTTTTCACGTCTGGCGGTTGGTTGCCACATGCTTTAGGTCTCAGATGTTCATTAGTTCTATGGCTGAGCCTTCTCTGAAGACGGTTCTGAGCAGGTTCTCTTTTTGTCTTCCCCGTTTTCTTTCCCTTCCGGTGTCCATATGAGGGCTTGATTGGAATGTCTGGTCTTATCCATTCTGTGCATGGTCGATGTAGTTCTGTCGCGCTTTCATATGAAATTAAATACATTATCTTGCTTTGTTTCTTGTCTTATTTGCGTATTAGATCTGAAATCTGTCCAGAGAAGATACAGTATTCTTCAAAGACATGTGTTCTCAAAATTGTCTTTATATATATATATATATATATATATATATATATATATATATATATATATATATATATATATATATATATATATATATATCTTTGCTTTTAAACTCTCTTGCTTTCCGTTGGTTTCCAACTCTCGGGTCCATAAGTTAGCACTGGAATCACACAGGTTTTGTGTATTTGCTAAATGTCTATGACTTCCAGATGTTTGACAGTTTGAACATTCAGATAAATACTCTAAGATAGGTACCTAATTTTCGTAAATGGACAGAGGAAGAACATTTAAAGTCGCAGGAACAATGATATGTATATACATACATATATATGTATGTATATATAAATACACAAATAAGGCAAGAATCCAGGCAAGAGTATGTGTCTAATTGTATACGAAAACGCCGCTGGAACTATGTCGGCCACGCCCTTAGAATGGATAAATCAAGACTTCCTTACCAAGCCCTCATTTGGACACCACAGGGGAAAAGATCTCGTGGAAGACCAAGGGAAACCCTACGTAGAACTATCATCAGGGAAGGCTCGCTCATGGGCCACTCAAACATCCAAGACCTACAACGGATTGCGACGAACCGCCATGCATGGAGAGTCATGACCTCTGCCCTATGTGCCGCACTCGAGACAAGAGGAAAAGACTAACTAACTAACTAACTATATATATATATATATATATATATATATATATATATATATATATATATATATATATATATATATATATATGTATGTATATAAACAAGCAGACAATGTATTGATGGACACTCATAGAAAGACGTAGAATAATAGAAGGACGGACAAGACAATACAAAAATCGAAAGTTATAGTTACCTTGCCGGGAGTCGAACCTGTCACCTCCAACTGGCATGTGAACTCGCTATGGAAACAAGTGTACTAAGCTAGCTGGTCATGTATCATGCATGATGTCAACATCCATTTCTGCACACCACAAAGTCACTACAGTTGCTTGTAGCTCGTGAGCTGTCTGTCTCCTTTCGTTTCCCTGCCTACATGCAAGAACTTCATCTGCAAATGTCAATATCCTTTCAACACATGGTGCTTCAAGTTCTTTAATCTTGCTTGTATATACAGGGAAAGCACGGGTAAAAATGCAGAACCCTGAGGTAGTCCCGGGGAGATATTACATGGTTCTGAGGTTCATATACCCAAGCGAAGGGCTACCATATGTCAGTGCAGAACAGCTGTCATCAAGTTTATAAGCCACGGACAAACCCTCTTCTTCGTGAGCGTAGGAATCAAAATATCATATCTGACTCTATAGTAGGCATCCTTAAGATCAAAAGCTGCCACTATTGTCTCCTGTCTTTTCCTGTAAATAATGAGACACCTTTTTTTGGGGGTGCCTAGTTGACCATGTATCTTTGTGCACTTGTATTCATGGCGAGGCACAGACGCCGTATGGAGGTGACAGGTTTAATTCCCGGCACGGTAACTATAGCTTTCGATTTTTATGTTTTCTAATGTGTTCTTCTATCTTTCTTCTTCTTTCTATGAGTGCCGTTCACAATACTTTCTGTTACTTGATTAATTCATGTCTATTCCTGTACCCCTCATAATCATCAAAAGCAAAAGTAGCTGCATTTGACCAGGTACCTTTCCTTGGCCGGTAACTACCCAAAACTGTTGGCAGGAGCTCTTCCTTTTTAACCCCAAAAAAAATTGTAGTTTAACATAAATAATCTTCTCTAGCACTTTGCCGAAAGTATTTTGTGGGGTGATAATTATGAAACTATCAGAGACTCAGCGAAAGTTAAGAAACGTTAAGACTCATCAATGTGCAGCCAATCAAAGTGTAGCTGAGCCTAAAAACGTGAATTGTACCAAGACTGAAAACCCAGCAAAGGGATAGAAGGAGTTGGAGTTATAACTACGATAGAAAAAAAGTCTATATCGTCAGAAGAATGGGCAAAATGAATAAACGGATATCCGCTGATTATATCGGTACTAGAAAACGCATACGATTTGCTTTGTTATAGAAGAGTTAAGGCACCACATGCAGATATCACCCACCTCCATTCATCTCTCTGGTTGGCCTTCTCTTTTAAGTTGGTAACACCAAGTGTTTGAATCAGTTTCATCAGCTCTCTCCACCTTTAGGGGTCAGTTGCGATGGACTTCATGGTTGCATGTCAAAGGCCTGTCCAGTCAGTCAGGTTCTGTAACCAGGTCTATCTTGGTCTACCTCTTCTCTTCTTTACCTCTCTTGAGCCCTGCAGTATTGTTTTTGAGAGGCCGTTAGATCTTATTACATGTCAATACCTTTTTCCTGTAGTTAAAAAAGGTTCATAGTTGCCAATGTGCTGTGTAATTTTATGGCGAACCTCTTCGTTTGTAATGTGGTCTCTGTATGATATGCCAAGAATTTTTCTGAAACATCGCATTTCCAATGCTTGTATTTTTCTTTCAAGTTCAGCTATTAAGGTCCACGTTTCACAGCCATACGTAAATGTACTAATATCTAGTGCTTATTATGCCACGTTTTGATGTATGTTACAGGTGTGGCCCAGAATCTGTTGCCGGATGGGTGCAAACTTGTATCTGTAATCTTAATTCCCTTTGGAGAGATTAGAAACAAGCCACAGAAGTAACATGAACAGCCTACTTCAAATGAGCTCCAACTCCGGACAAATTCCTACAAGTTTTAATCACCCTCTTCACCACCACTACAGCAACACCGGACATCAACATCAACATCATCCTCATCATCACCACCACTCCCACTTAGGTCAACTTTACCAACAGCAACGGCCATCTTTCGCCATTCAGGAGATTCTGGGCTTGGGATGCCGACAGTCAACCTCGCCATCTTCTTTGGGAGACTCGGGTCTGGTGGATTCGTCCATTGGTGGAATGACGACTGTGCAGAACAGTTTTGGGGGAATGTACTTTTCCCCGACTGCTTCAGTCTCCCAAGGTCTTCAGAACGAGTCACAAACCCAAAGTTATATGGCTGGTTCACATCACGGATCCACTCATCCACATGGATCTAATACTGGATCTCTCTATCCTTGGAGGTTTGACTTTACATCAACGTCTAACTCGCAGCAACTTCCTTCTGCCAGATTTACTGGAGTAGGGAGGCATGACGATGGCGGCCTGTCTTTTGAATACAAGCACGTCATGTCTGATGAAGGTAGGAACATGAGATTTTATTTGTGTCTATATCTCATTCGGCAATTTATTAATATCCTACCTCAGATGACGTCACATGACAGTCCAACATTTTAGAGGGTGGTAAGACTGGGTTTCCCGGCTTTCTGATGCTTTTAACGACCCCAAAACATCTAAAGCTGGCCCTAACCTCAACCCACCAACGTCCCAAGAGAGAGTGCAGCCTAGGTCCCACGACTGCATGCAGTCTATCCACCACCCCCTGAAATATTAGACTAGCCGGTGACCTGTGGATTTCCCCTGTTTGGGGTAGGATATTAATAAAGCACCTCTCATCCTTTGTAATCTTATCTCATCTCATCTTTGTTTCTTCTTTTGTTTTTCTTCTATCCTTCGCTTGAAATAAATTATCTTTATCTACACTGCTGTCCCTAGTATGAACGTCACAATCTTGGAGGACGTGATCTGTCTCAAGTGCAAATCCACATGTGGAAATGGCTGATTTGTCAATTTTAAATTGTGTGTGCTTGTCTGTTCTTTAGTCTCTTGTGGTGTAGAGGTGAAGAATAAACTTAAGTAGACTTTCCGTTTTTATGGTTGTATTTTAGGGTTCCCGTGAACTCTCTTATCTTATCTATCCAGTGTTGTCAAAGTCGACCTCTCTCATCTCATCTATCCAGTGTTGTCAAAGTCGACCTCTCTTATCTCATCTATCAGTGTTAACAAAGTCGACCTCTCTTATCTCATCTAACAGTGTTATCAAAGTCGACCTCTCTTATCTCATCTAACAGTGTTATTAAAGTCGACCTCTCTTATCTCATCTAACAGTGTTATCAAAGTCGACCTCTCTTATCTTATCTATCAGTGTTATCAAAGTCGACCTATCTTATCTCATCTATCTAGTGTTATCAAAGTCGACCTCTCTTTTTTATCTATCCAGTTTTATCAAAGCCGACCTCTCTAATCTCATATATCCAGTGTTATCAAAGTCGACCTCTCTTATCTCATATATTTTATGTTATCAAAGTCGACCTCTCTTATCTCATCTATCGAATGTTATCAAAGTTGACCTCTCTTATCTCATATATTTTATGTTATCAAAGTCGACCTCTCTTATCTCATCTATCGAATGTTATCAAAGCCGACCTCACTTATCTCATCTATCCAGTGTTATCAACGTCGAACTCTCTTTCGATATATGCTTGGCCTGTACAAGCAAAGAGACTTAGGTGTTGCGAACGCACTTCGTAATGCCGAGGTGCTGGGTTTAATCCCAGCTACGGACGGCTTGTCTTGCGTTGGTTTCATCACTGGCGATAAAAGCTGACTGTTCAGAGGCAGTGGAAATCTACTGAACTTAGAATGCTGGGGTTGGTTCTGCAACGCCCTGTAAAGGATGCGCATTTAACTTTTCACCGAGTCTCTAAAAGTGCGGGTATTCAGATGATGGGTCGCATTTAATGGCCGGGAGGGCCAGATGGGGGTGGGTGGGGGGGGGGGGTGTATGTGTTAACTACAGAGGCTCTTGCAAGTTTGGGATGTACATAAAACTACTTCAAGGAAAAAAAAAGAATGACACGGGGGGAAATTTGCATTCAATATTATAATTCACAACACTTATAAAAGCTATAAACTTTCACTATTGTCTGTATTCGCCATTTTAATGAAGGGGGGGGGGGGTGGAGGTCTCCATCACTCAAGGCGGACTCCATGCCTCCAGACCACGCTACAGTATACTATATTACATGAGTTGGGACATTTCGCGGCCAGTATACAACCCGGAAACTGAAATAGTTGAGCCACATCAAGCTATAAGACATGGTGCCAGGCAGGAGAGGCAGGGGTCGATCAACACGAACATGTATGTACACAGGATTTAAGTGACTCCTTGAAAATAAAAGCACATGAGGCGGAAGAGCTGGCGAGAGACTGACAGTCCTGTTAGGCAGGGCGTAAAAAGAGCGATGTTCTGCAAAGGACCTGCTTCGTGGTAATGATGATCCAACAACCGTTAAAAGTTGGTATTAACCAAAATGGCCATTGTCGCTGTTTAGTCAGGGAACTGCTGTTGTGTTGTTGAACTTTTATTCGCCCTTCCCCCCCCCCACCCCAAACCTGACATGTCACAGCCTATGGCGATTGTGTAATGATTGCTCTATCTCCTTATGGCCTCCCAACACAAAGGCTAGTCGCTGCTGATGACCTGTCGAATGACCTGGTCGAGTCACCTGGCACCTGGTTCTAGTTAGATTCGGGTACTATTCAACTGTAGTCGGTGACACGTGACGTCAGACAAATTCACACCGTGTCGTTATAATTGTCGTTTTGTGTCCTCTTTGTGATAAGGCTAAAGAGGCATGGGAGATTATGGGATGGCAAGTTATGATACAACGGGGGTGGTGAAGCGATGGGTTGGGGGGGGGGTGGGAGTGGTCGGGTGACCTAGTAGGACTAAGAGAACCTGCTAGAACAGCCTTGGAAGTATATCTTGGTGCATAGGTGGAGCATTAGATGGACCGTCTTGCTGTATCACCAGCTCATGCTCATCGTCATACTGTGTTGCGTCCCAGTAAACAGACTGATGCAGGATTAAAGGAATGATTCTTTTTCGTTTTATTGATGTGGTTGGCTGCGGACTGTTGTTGGTATAAGTGGTATGATATGACTAGAGAACTGTATCAACCTAGTACTTCCTGGTAGGGAACCCCATTTGTCGCCAGGAGGTTGGCGCGGAAAAAAAGGGGGAGGGGGGGGGGGCTTTCGCATATATAAGTGAAGCATGATCAGTTACCTTTGGACGCTTGTTTAGGAAGCGATACACACACCTGCAGTCGCTCTACAACACGGGTGGTAGGTAGAGAATAGACTCAATATCCCCCTAATAGTCACATTGAAAAAGGCACCTAATTTGGGTTGTTTCCGTTGAAGTCGCTGTGAATCTGCCTGAGAGACCAGAAACCAGCAGTCTACAAATATATATGAGAGATCTGTAAAACTGATATGCACGCTATGCTCAAGATCTAGAACAGCACCACAGTCCAGAAGTGGACGACCAGTCTGAACTCTCCGCTGGAGCTCTTGAACGGAATAGTAGAAATACATTTTTACCCCACCAGGACATCACACAAGCGATAAACACCCGATGACACAAAGTGCCACTATGTGGATGAGGATCATCCGTGGAGAGGTCTCAGAAACCGCGTTCAACCATTAGACCATATTTATGGCCGGGCTATATTGCGGCTCCTGGCAAGAGCCAGAGTAGGGCTTCAAATAACGAAAAATTACATCTAACAAGGAGATGACTACATCGCTTGAACGGAAAAAGTGAACTCTGCTTTTATTTCTTCGACCCTGTTCTTTCCACTGCAAGGACAGTCTAGTTATAATGTTATAAGATTTTCATTACATATGTCCTTGGGTATTGGATGGGAAGCATTAAATAGTATTATTCTTCATCGATTTAGATTGCATTGGCAAGGCGTGATCAATTCGCATTTGTAAGCGTTAGCATGTTACGGTGACACTAGTAAGGGTACTGAATTATATTTGATGCTTCTCAGGGAATTTTGTGCAAAGTTTTGTTCACACAGTATATCTGATAGTAACATTTCCCCACTGGGTCTCTGATGCATCAGTTGGTGGCTTTCCTCAAGCATCTCATTTCGCAGATGTTAATTTTACGAAGTCAGCTAGTTTGTTACCTATCCTTTACAGGAAATCGCAGAACCAACACCAGAACTTGTTTGGCTGTTGTGGTTCTTCTAGGCAAATTTACGTCCAGTAGTTTGCCATTGCTTCCTGGGCGGTTGGCTTCTCGATGCCACTGTCGAAACCAACACAAGGCGAAAGACTCGCAGCTAGGATCGAACCCGGCATCCGGGCATTGCGAAGCTCGTTCGTAACACCTAAGCCACAGACGCCGACAATTTTACAAAGGAAAGTTGATTTTTCTTCTCTTCCACCATTTACCTCAGCGAGGTGAAGGGGCACATTTAAGGATCGTTTCTGGCTTTTCCAAATACATTGTATAAGTTGGTGTTCATTTCTGTTGGGTTGCTACTGATGATGTCGTTCCATATCTTGTTTGGTCTTCCCCTTGCTCTATGTTTATTATATTTCCTCAGCGTGGTTTTCTGTGGCAGTTGGTACCAGGACATTCTCGTCAGGTGGCTAAACAGTCTCATTTGTTGTTCTTTGATGAATTGTGTGACTGGTTTCAGTCCTAGTCTTCTACTAATTTCTTCATTCTTGATTTGATCTCTTCTTGTCACATGGGCAGCTCTCCTAAGACAGCTCATCTCTGTCACTATCTTCCGCTTGTTAGTTGTAGTAATGGTCCATGTTTGACACTTGTAACTGCACACTCTCACATCTCCTAAATGTGTCTTGTGCATCCCCGTTTGTATAATTAAATCTTCCACTGGTTTGCCAGATCTGTCGTAGTTGGATTTGCTTCTGAAAAGTTACTTTTTTAAATCATTAACTGCTTCACCCACGGGCTACGATCTAGAAGGCAACATAATAATAGTAATAATAATATTAAAAATAATATTAATAATAATAATAATAATAATAATAATAATAAATCGCCATCAGCGTAGCTGAGATTTTCAGACCTCCATGTGCATACATGGATATGTAGGAATAAAGGGTAACGAACGAGTCGAAATGTTGGCAGACAATACACCAATTATACTTAAAGGGTTATGGACAAAGCTGATATCATGAACGCTGTATAGTCTAAGCTGGCGGACACTGGTGAATCTCTGAAGCTAACCGGATTGCGTGGTCTAAGAGCAAAGCTTAGGAAGCACGTCTATGCTGTCTTCGAGGTCGAGGAAGGAGTCACTATAACCAGCTTATCGTGGGAACAATAAGTAGAAATACCTTGGAGTGGCTGCTGCAACGGAGGACTTAGCATGCATAGGAATGCTCAAATGTGCAGAGAAAAAAAATTGTGAAACCATCATAATTCATTCATTCATGTATTGTCATATTGCGCCATTGGGAGTCGCCGTGACATAGCGACTAGACGCTCGCATGCGGATCTGAATGTCGTTTGTTCGCTTACTAGCGGAGTCAGACTTTTTTCAAAAAGGACCTTGACTTCCAGGTCGACCCATCCTTAAGTGGATACATGGGTAGGAAGTCCCGGAAAGTAAAGGTGGCCGGCGTGATGCTGACCACATCACCCATCTTGTACCGGTCTATACAAATATAGGTCTAGCCCTATATGCCCTTTACGCTTAAAGGCGTGGAAAGGGGTCCTTTACTTATAGATATTGTGCCTTTATTAGTCACAGATGGCTCGTCGTGTATTGCTCCATTCTATTTTGTCTTGTGCACTCACCTTCTCTCATCAACGTTCTCGTTTCTTCAATCCCTCAGTTTCCCATTTCAGTTCCTGTTTGTTGATTTTCTGTTCGTGTAATCTCAGGAAGTGTCCAAGCACGATCTTCACAACGCGAGGCAAACTACCTAACCACTTCGCCACCGAGTGCATTGTCTCTATTGCTTTCAGTACTCAGTAACTCACTATGCGTTAGTCGCGCTCTACTCCCTTCATGACCGTGTGCGTTTGTGAACAATCTGTCTCAAAAGTCCCGCCGTTTTTGAAACTTCCTACTCCTGGCATGTTTCTTCTTTCTTTGTTCGCCGGTTGTATGCTCCGGCGGAAAGTCCTGGTTGTTCGTCCATCTGCACATTGAGTCTGTGCCAGGGCCTGAGTTTGTGCATAGGTTTTACTAGCTTATAGTGCCAACATAGTGCCATATTTTTTGTCTTATAAATGCTTTAAACAAGTGCTGGTCCAGATATGGCTCTAATTTCTTCACTCCTTTTAAATTCATCCCATTTTATGTTCAGCATTCTCCTGAGGTATTTATTTTTTGAATGCATTCAACTGTCGTTCTATATCTTTAGGAGTTCTACAACGTCCACTGAACCTGTATTTTGAAACTGAAATCACACGGAAATTGAAAATGCACAACTGGGTTTTGAAACTATATATATATAAAAAGATAAATTTAAAAAGAAAGTCACTTATGCTTAACCTACCCGCAGAGAATTACTAAACAGGCATTAAAATAGGGGGAAAGGGATTGAGGAGCGCAACGCTCAAAAGAAACCCTAAAACGAATGTTGATGAGAAAGGCCAAAGCTGCTGAATTGGATTTGATCCATGATATTGAACTAACTACACAGGATGAAGCGGAATGGAGGAATAGACCGAAAATCCTATGTGACATACAGTTGCACACAAGGACAGTGAATGAGTGAGTTTCTAACCTATACATTCATGTCTCCCTAGTTCCTTTACAAACATATCTTCACTCCGAGAGGACGGAAGATACCAGCACTGTGGGAGGCAAGAAGTCCAAGAAACGCCGTCGACACAGGTAAGGCTTCATTGTCTCTGTTTGTTTTCGTATCCAAAAGCCATAAGTTGTTAACCCTTAGGCTCGGTATTATGGATATCGCAACCTTTCGAGCTTGATTCCATTGTAAATACCGTAAATCTGGGAGACAGTGTGGCTTTTCTGCCTACCCCCGGGAGTGAACCCGGACCACAAGGAGTTCGTCACTGGGTCACCGTGCAATCCGGTTTAGCCAACTACGCTAGAGAGCCGGGCATTATTGTCTCTAAAGGTTCAAAGGGAAGCCTCCGTCATCTGTCTGTCTGTCTGTCTGTCTGTCTGTCTGTCTGTCTGTCTGTCTGTCTGTCTGTCTGTCTGTCTGTCTGTCTGTCTGTCTGTCTGTCTGTCTGTCTGTCGGATTCTCTATCACTCTATATGTGCACGTTTCCAATTCTCTCTCTCTTTCTCTCTCTCTCTCTCTCTCTCTCTCTCTCTCTCTCTCTCTCTCTCTCTCTCTCTCTCTCTCTCTTTCATCCACACTTTATTCACTCACTAACTCACTCACACACCCACTCATTCACCCAGTCACCCACTCACTCACACAGTAACCTTTTTTACTCACCGCCCCTTTTCTTTTTTTAACCCTCCCCTTCCCTCTTTTCCCCAGTCCGTCTCTGTCCATCCCTCTATCTCTACAACCGTCTCTTCATCTGTCTGACTCTCTGTCTTTCTGTCTTTCTATCTATACGTCAATCTATCTATCTAGAGCAGTCTGTCTCCCCATGCCACACATTCCACCTCTATCAGAAAAACATAAATACCGAATGCATAAACTATTCTATAAAACCAGCCATGCCCAGCTTGTTCCTGCGCGCTCGGTTTAACCAGACGTCAAAACACCCGCCAACTTTACACCATCTCCAGCAGGCGGGGCTAGCTTGTGTCACGCTGTCTGTGTTTCCATCCTAAATTCGGCGAAATAAATTGGCCCACTTAGCGCCGCGCTTTCAAGCAGGGGAGGGGCTGTAATTAGCCTGTCAACAGTTACGACGAGTGCCACTGGTTCTAGTTTTGTGTTGACAAGTGACATTGAAACAAGTTATTAATTAACGCAAACGTGTCGAAAATTATTCCTTTATAGCGCCCAGGCGAGACGATCTGTTATCTTTCTACATCAGCTGAATACTGGCGGCGTGGTTGCAGAGAGTTTGGGTTCAAATTCAGCATTTTAATAATAATTGTTACTTTTTAAATTCTCTTTCTGATATGTTAGTGTTTGTAAATTTATTTACTGTATTTGTTATGCCAACCTCCATGTTTTTTGTTGGAGGGTGTTTTTGAAATTGTCGATTAGGACGTCTAATCAGATAGCTAACTACAATTAGGAATTCAGTGATTGTTACATTAAACGATTCACAGATGAGTATTGCACTCGTCCCCCTTCTCCTGTCACTTTTCTTCCTCCTCCTCCTCTTCTTTTTTTTTCTAATTCTCTTGTTCTTCTGGTTCTTCTTGTTCTTGTTCTTCTTGTTCTTCTTGTTCTTCTTGTTCTTCTTTCTTCTTCTTCTTCTTCTTCTTCTTCTTCTTCTTCTTCTTCTTTTTCTCTTCTTCTTCTTCTTCTTCTTCTTCTTCTTCTTCTTCTTCTTCTTCTTCTTCTTCTTCTTCTTCTTCTTCTTCTTCTTCTTCTTCTTCTTCTTCTTCTTCTTCTTCTTCTTCTTCTTCTTCTTCTTCTTCATCTTTTTCTTCTTCTTTGTCTTCTTCCTCATCATTTTTCCTCTTCTTTCCTCCTCCTCCTCATTCTGTCTTTGTTTTCTTGTCACTTTCAGTGTCCAAATTACGACTTGATTCGGGAGTCTGGTCTAATCTATTGTAAATGCATGGCCGATGTAGTTCTAGCGGACCCATGGGGAATGCTTTCCACTAACACCCCCACCCCTGAATTTAAAAAAACTCATTGGCAGACTTCAAACCCAACACCTTTCGTTAGGCAGACTTGATGTCTTCAGTTAACAATGTGAACTTGAGTGTACGTAAGTTTATCAAATCAAACAAGTGTTAAACGATATTGCCAACAAAACGATTACAAGGGAAATAACCACAAAAATAACAATGTGTTTAGCGAACTTACACAGTGATGCAACAATCAATCAATCAATGTGAGACACACACACACAAATAGTTTGCGAGAACTGACAGCTCGTGGTAGAAACAAAACCCATGTCTGTTGTCTGAGCTTTTCTTGAAGGCAGCAGATCAAAAAGGGAAAAGAAATAGCTAAAACTATCTTCAATAAGATGCGAAAATTACTGGCAGCTAGGGATATAAGATAGCATAACTTTTGACCTGTGAGGGTCTTCGGTGTGTTTCGACAGGAGCACTAACACACAAAAGCCTCTTTCGTTCTCTGATTTCGCTTCTCCATTTTAATAAATTATCATTTAGTCCTGTCAGTTTCCTAATTTTGTTGTTCCATACTGGAAGGTAAGGTCGACTGTAGGAGAGCAAGAGATAGACAAACATGGAAATCTGAGGACAACGTCAAGATATAGACGAACCGCACTGTGACAGTGTACAACTAAGACAGTGCGTGCTGGAGATAGGTTGCAACCAACCTGCACTGTGGAGGTTGAGGTTTAGACATCGAATCAACAGCATTGCACAAGGGTGGTAACCTATGAGGTCTCCATTCTACTTCTGACTCAAGCCTGTGTCCGAAGAATCTCGTGCCTGTGTGCACGAGCTCCGTAGCACCGGCGAGGACCCTGAAATACTTAGAGATAGATTTGTAACTCAAAATTTTGTCCGGGCAGCGCCGTTGGGCTACTCTTTACGATTTCAAACTGCCAAGAGGATGTTTACTTGCGCAACAATACACACGGGCGTCTGATCTTGCTGCCCATGACCAGCTGGAATTACTAGAAGTTCAAGTCCACGTGAACTAATCCCAGCCCTTACCGGGGATTGACACCGGAACCTCTAGCACTTGAGGCGGACACCATGTCTCGAGACCATGCTGTCCCCTTGAGGTCTTTGAAAGAGCAGGTAGTACCACAGATTCTTCAAGGCTCAGCCTCCGAAGGCTCACATGGCTAGGCCACACTTTGAAAATGGAGGATGGTAGACTTTCTAGGAACATCCTTATGCATTCCGAGTTTACCGGACAATTCCATAACTAGTCGCATCGTTACGACATGCAAGTTGGTGGTTAGTAGTTGGTGGGAGAAGGGAAGTGGGGGGAGGGGGAGTGTTATTATTTGTCCTAAACTGTGGCCCGTAATCAACAGTGGGTGCTATATTATAAGATATGTGTATATTCGCAATGGCTACATTGTATTAAAAAATTAAAGTAACAATTACTACATTTTATAAAATGTTCATATTCTCGATTGCCACCTTACATTATTTGTCCCTGTCTGCGATTGCTAAATGTTTAACTTGTTTTTTAGGTTTAAGAATTGGGCACGCAGGCCCGTCTAACTTTATGCTCTTCGATGTCTCTCTCCGTTCTCACACATCATTTCATTCTTACGTCAAGTGAAAGTAAACGTTATCAATAGCAACAAAGATTCAATACTAGCACTGGAATGTGTACATTTCTAACTACATGAGACAGTAGTTGTAAAAAATCTAGAGAAAATTAGCGCTGTTTCTAAAATATTTTAGTATCTTCTATGGGGGCATGTAATCTGTGCTCAGATTATATTCGCTCAGTTTCCGATTGTATGTATAGGGACTGGTGGTATTTTTTATTTTTTTTATTTTATGTGGAAGACAGTTCCACAACTGAGCTGCGGAGTACATCAAACTTTTTTTTTTTTTAGGTCTATCTTATGGATGTTTAATATATTTAGGGGTTTACTGCAGGGCTGCCAATGGAATTTTTTTGAAAAACCCAGCTTCGCTAAACAAAACCCCAAGCAATACATAGACAAAGAAAAAAAAAAAACCTAGATTGTTAAAATTTAAACAATTTATATTAACGAAACGAAACATTTACCACTTTTATGTAAGGATATAAAAAAAAAAAAAAAAAATTCCCCCAGGCTTCAAATAAAAACCCAGATCTGGGGGAAAAAACCCAGCATTGAAAGCCCTGGTTTACTGTGCCTTCCGCTATGTTTAAAAAACTTTCATAAGTAACATGGAGCCTTTTGGGATAATATTGTGTGAATAAATTTTGCCTAGCTGAAAAGTAGACGTTCACGAAGCGGTAGTAGCATAAGAGCTTTATATGTTTCAGAACTTATTGTTCCATGATTAATACTTATTAAGCGCATGGCGCGCTTTTGCAGTGACGTGAGCCTCGTGATAACAGAACTGGAACAGCCATCCCATATTGTAGAGCAATAGTCTATGTACGTCTGGATGTGAGAAATATAGAATATCTTTCTTGTGTTTTCATCAAGAAAGTTTTTTAATTTCTTTTTAGTTGATTACCCTTTTTAGCTGTTTGTTTCACAAGTGCGTGCACATGAGAGTTGAAGATTAGATTTGCATCAATGACCAACGCCAGTGCTTTGTGCTCAGTTACACTTTTCACTTGAGTTTCCCCAAATGTAGAGTTTAAGCGTACTCTGTGAATTTATCCTGTATAGTTTTTGTCTGGACGCTATTAGCATAGATTTGGTTTTAATAATGTTTATTTGCCTACGGTTTGCACTGCTCCATTTGACTGCGCATTATATAGGATGTTGATATTCCTGATTGCTACATTATATAGCATTCCTATATTCACGATCGCTACATTACATCACTGGATGATATTTACGATTGCTACATTACATCACAGGATGATATTCACGATTGCTACATTACATCACAGGATGATATTCACGATTGCTACATTACATCACAGGATGATATTCACGATTGCTACATTACATCACAGGATGATATTCACGATTGCTACATTACATCACAGGATGATATTCACGATTGCTACATTACATCACAGGATGATATTTACGATTGCTACATTACATCACAGGATGATATTCACGATTGCTACATTACATCACAGGATGATATTCACGATTGCTACATTACATCACAGGATGATATTCACGATTGCTACATTACATCACAGGATGATATTCACGATCGCTACATTACATCACAGGATGATATTCACGATCGCTAAATTACATAACAGGATGATATTCACGATCGCTACATTACATCACAGGATGATATTCACGATCGCTACATTAAATCACAGGATGATATTCACGATCGCTACATTACATCACAGAATGATATTCACGATTGCTACATTACATCACAGGATGATATTCACGATTGCTACATTACATCACAGGATGATATTCACGATTGCTACATTACATCACAGGATGATATTCACGATTGCTAAATTATATAGCATGCCTATATTCACAGTAGCAATATTATATAGCTTACCAGTATATATACACGATTGCTACGTTACGTTACAGGACAATATTGACGATTGCTTCATTGTGTAGCATGCACGTATTCACAATTGCTACATTGTGTAGCATGCCAATCTTGACGAATGCTACATTAATAGCACGCTTGTACTCAACATTGCTACATGATACAGCATGCATGTATTTACAATTGCTACCTTATATAGCATGCATGTATTCACAATTGCTACATTATGTAGCATGCATGTATTTACAATTGCTACCTTATATAGCATGCATGTATTCACAATTGCTACCTTATATAGAATGCATGTATTCACAATTGCTACCTTATGTAGCATGCATGTATTCACAATTGCTACCTTATGTAGCATGCACGTATTCACAATTGCTACCTTATGTAGCATGCACGTATTCACAATTGCTACCTTATGTAGCATGCACGTATTCACAATTGCTACATTATGTAGCATGCATGTATTTACAATTGCTACCTTATATAGCATGCATGTATTCACAATTGCTACCTTATATAGAATGCATGTATTCACAATTGCTACCTTATGTAGCATGCACGTATTCACAATTGCTACCTTATGTAGCATGCACGTATTCACAATTGCTACATTATGTAGCATGCATGTATTTACAATTGCTACATTATGTAGCATGCACGTATTCACAATTGCTACCTTATGTAGCATGCACGTATTCACAATTGCTACATTATGTAGCATACATGTATTCACAATTGCTACATTATGTAGCATGCACGTATTCACAATTGCTACATTATGTAGCATGCACGTATTCACAATTGCTACATGATACAGCATGCATGTATTCACAATTGCTACCTTATGTAGCATGCACGTATTCACAATTGCTACATTATGTAGCATACATGTATTCACAATTGCTACATTATGTTGCATGCACGTATTCACAATTGCTACATTATGTAGCATGCACGTATTCACAATTGCTACATGATACAGCATGCATGTATTCACAATTGCTACCTTATGTAGCATGCATGTATTCACAATTGCTACCTTATGTAGCATGCATGTATTCACAATTGCTACATTATGTAGCATGCCAATCTTGACGAATGCTACATTACATTTCAGGACAATATTCACCAGTTTTCAACTTGAGGAGCTAGAGAATGCCTTCAAAGACGCCCACTACCCAGATCTGTACGCACGCGAGCTGCTGGCGCTAAAGATCGATTTACCTGAGGACAGGATACAAGTATGTATTTAAGGCTCCTTTTTCCTCGTATCCTCACCTGACAGTCCGAAGATCTTGGGTTCGAGAATCTGCATCGGATGTTTGGTGTTTTTTAAATTGGCTTTTATACTGTTAACAAAAGGCGTTTTTTATTACTTTGTTAAAAAAATATCGTACTCTAAAAAGCAGACTCAAATGTTGTTTACCGTGTCCAGTGGACATGTGGGAGTGAAATGCGTGGGTTTTGGTAATCGTTACAACGCACTGGTCAATTGTGTTTGAGACCATATTTGTGATTATAGCTCACGATTCGGGCATGGGAAAGCAACACAATTTGGGGTGAACACTGTTCACTACCTACGCAACTGAAACCCTTTAACAGGATAACGCTACACCAAAACGCTCAGTTCATTTTCGAGCAGTCACGAATGGCGCCTCTATCGATATATTTGAGGAATATTGCTACTGGCCGATTACAGGCGTCTGTCTGCGTTATCATGCATCAGTATTCAACCAAATTGTCCAGAAGCAACTACTTTCCCAACACACCGGCATTCAGGGAGAAAAGATTTTTCTTCTTCTTCTTCTTCTTCTTCTTCTTCTTCTTCTTCTTTATCCTCCTGCGGAAAGTCCTAGTTGTTCGTCAATTTGCACTTTGCTTTGTGCAAGGGCCTGAATTTGGCGTGTACATCCATTTTAATGTCTAATTTGTACGCAAGTGGTTGTTCCTTGCCGCTCGGGCAGATGCACTTCGATGTTAAAGTAAGCTCCCAATTAGACGACTCTTACGACATGCTTTTGGGGTATGCATTGGGCCCATTTTTGTTGTTCCACAATGCAGCCCCGGAACCAACACGGGGAGAAGAGATCCAGATAATGCTTCTCACTCATGACCTCTGAAGCAAAGCGCAGCACGTCACTCTGCACGAAGCATATCTGTTCTCACCTTCCTCGACATGATCTCTGAAGTTAAACTAGTAATATGGTGTCCGCCTCGAGTGCTGGAGTCCCTGGTTCAGGCCCCTGTGAAGGCTGGGATTTTTACACGTGGACTTCTAGTAATTTCCCCTTGTCTCTTGGTAGTCAGAACGGACGCCCGTGTGTATTGATACGCACGTTTTAAAAAAAATCCCTTGGCAGTTTGAAATCGAAAAGAGTAGCATAACGGCGCTGCCCAGACGAAATGGGGAGTTAAAAATCTACCTAAAGTATTTCAGGATTCTCGCTGGTGCTATGGAGCTCGTGCACTGCGCTGAAATTCTTCGGACAGGCTTGGGTCAGAAGAAGAACGGAGCGCTTATGGGTTACTTCCCGTGTACCATGATGTTGATCTGTTGTTCAAACCAGTTCAAACTGATTAATATAACATTCTTCAGCGAAAAAAGACAGCGATAAATTATATCATTTTTGGAATGATCCAGAAAGTCATCATAATTTAGTAGGGATTCAAAGAGTCAACAGCGACTAATTAGAAGTTTGCTTCAATAGGATCGGTTAGGCAGAGAGGCACAGATATCACAGCCTAGCTGTCAACCACAACACGGTATGCCAAACAGAAGAAGAATCCTTGCATATCAACACATAAATAAACCCCTTTCTCCCCTCTCTCTTATTAACACCTCCAATCCTGCACACCCTCCTCTCCTCCCCATTCATCCTTCACCTCCTTTTTCTCCCTCGTCAAATCCGAATACTTGATATTTTTTTAAGATCTAGTATATCCGCGTATTGTTTTTCAAAATACACCATATTGCCCTTCTTAAAGCTCCAAAATAACACCGGGCATATTCCAGCGGCCTCGTCGCCACGCTCTGCTGCCATTAGATTCTCAGCAGCCAATTGCTGGCAATCCCTAGATATTTTGATATCCCCAGGGGGAAAAAGAAACCAGGTTTATTTAAGCCTAATTCTGCGTTAATCGTGTTTCAAAGCGGCGAACTTTCGGGATTTGTCTGCTAAGTTCAACATAAACTTTTATAAGCGGAAGTATATGATCGCTTTCCCATTTCCTTTCTGTCTCGCATTTGGAGGTACCGGAATCTTGCTCTGCTAATACATTGACCCCCCCCCCCCCTTTTCCTCCAACAAACACACACACACACACATACACACACACACATCCACACACACACACACACACACACACATCCTCCCCGCCCACGCTCTGTCAGGGGAAAACCATTAGTCGCTGTAAAGACTCCACTGGCGATTAATGATGAATATGTAACGCTGATTCAATTTCATGACCTGGGAGTGAAGCCTGGTGAAGTACGTCAAGATGGGGTATACTGAAACCAACTCCTCGTGTGAACAGTCAGAAGTAGCTTGGAGAGGCGACTGAATCGGAGGACTGGGAATGCCGCTAGTTTGCAGTGACGTCGATTGTAATAACATAACACAACACTGAAATAAATGGTTCTTGTAGATTTCAGATCTAATACGTAAATAAGACAAGAGACCAGGAACTAGATGCACTCGGAATAGAAAAGACCAGACTCTCCCATCAAGCCCTCAAATGGACGCCGAAAGGGAAAAGAAAACGGGGAAGACAAAGAGAGACCTTGTGTAAAACCATCATCAGGGAAGGCTCCACAGTGGGCCTAATGAACACCCAAGACCTAAGGCAGGTAGAGAGTGATGAACTCTGCCCTATTCCACCTTAGACTCAAGGGGACAGACTAAATAACTATGTATTTCTGTAGAATCCATCGATAGTAGAGCTCTGGTCATGCGGGAGACCCTAATGTGAATCCTTGGTAACGTTGTTTCTGCTAGGACACAAAATTATTACCATGCATAGGGCGTGGCGACATCACCAGCCATCCAGTCCTATATCTTCAGGCTCAAAGTCCCCCCCCCCCCCTTTTCCCCTCTCCCCTCCCACCTAACTTAAAGTGGTAAATGAAGGCAGAATTATGCACAATTGTTTTGACATTTGATATTCTCTCTGTCTGTCTCTCCCTTTTCATACTCTCTCTCTCTCTCACTCACACACACACACATACACACACACACACACACATGCACGCTTGGTACACAAGAAGAAGTGAGAAAGAACAATGCTCTCCCTTTATCAAACATTACGGCAGCCAATCAACTGGAAGTATGTTTTCGAAATTACCAACCTCGCTTTCATTTCCTGTCTCAGAATTAACCAATCAGCTCTAACTCGTTTTTATAAATTAGCGCGGCTTCTCTCTGCTCCCAATTTGTTTCCTCGATTATTTCCAAATTAATCGGTCACTTGCCGATAAATGCGAAAGAACTCTCACGAGTAGCAGATTAAACACGATAGCTTGGGGAGTCTCAAATCAAATTAGTCTTTAACATTTGGGCTTGCTTCGGTGATTTTTGTTTCCATCTGAGAATTCACTGAGGCTAATCGAATCTCAAAAAACGCGCCGGGAGTGTCGGTTATCGTTCTTGACTTCTGAATAATGGCCGATTAGCTCGACACGTGATCACAAATTAGCAAAACGATTGGTTTTTAAATGCCTCTCTATTTCTGCCGTTCCCAGCGCCATTTTATTCCCATAAGGAATCTATATTGTGGTAACAGTAAAGTGAGTAAAGGTCCCTTTTCCACGCCTTTAGGCGTATAGGCATACAGGGCTAGACCTATAATTTTAAAGACCAATTGGCACAAGATAGGTGATGTGGTCAACATCACGCCGGCCGCCTTTACTTTCAGGTAAATTGTGGTTATACTTTTTTTTATTCGCATCATCATCTTCTTCTCATTGTTTCTTTAAACTTCACATAGGGTTAACAGTTTATTTTTCCATTCCTATACGTCTTTCGCAATTATTTAAATTCATGGCTGTTCGTCCATTTATGGACTTCAGCCTTGTTTCAGAACTTGAAATGTGCGTGTTCATTCGTTTTATAGACCTAGCTTATCTGTGTGCAGACAGTTCATTTCTCACACACACGAAGGAAACATTCATAATTAGTCGCCTTTTACGACATGCTTGTGAGGAGGCAGTAAGTTCTTGAGTTTTAAGTCATACCGTCGCATATATTTTTATGTTTGACCTTGTGTCTCCGCTAAACTATCCCTAAAATTTGTACCAGAAAGTGTCCATGAAAGTAAAAGCGGCAGATAGGATAGTTTGGCATGAAAGCTTGGAGAATTATGTGTAACAAAAATGACTGACACTACACGAAACAAAGGTTGTGGTAAGTTATTGTTACCCAAGACGGACGGTGGGGATGATAAGAAGAAGGATTTCTGTATAAGTGCAATATTCACAGAGATCTCAAGCGACCGCTGTTAAAGCTACGGGAGGTTGTGCTTTTAACCATGCTCTCCATAGACGGATAGTCATTCTTCAGAGATAGACTTAGACATATGGTGCTTTGAAGACAATAGGAAGAGGAAGAAGAAGAACAATAATTGTGTCACTACTGCAAAGTGACAGAGATCCCCGGGGATCGTTTCTGAAGTTACGAGAGCTTGTACTTTCTGCGAGAAAAACACAGTTAGTCGTTACCTGAGTGTATGAATCTGTTTTACAAATCTCACTTATTTGTATGCAGACTGCTGGTTAGGCAGATGCACTCAGATTTCGAGGAAAGCCCCAATTAGTCGACTCTTACGACATGCTTTTTGGGTAGGCAGTGGGTCCATTCTTGTTTTCCTGATAAAAGGGCCCCGGATCCCACACGGGGAAGACGGTGTTATGAGGTCGATAAGTCGATCCTCCCAATTTTCAACTTTCAACTTACAAATAACCTTTTTCTGTCCAGGTTTGGTTTCAGAACAGGCGAGCAAAATGGAGGAAAACCGAAAAGACGTGGGGCAAAAGCTCAATCATGGCGGAGTATGGCCTCTACGGCGCAATGGTGAGACACGCACTTCCGCTTCCGGAAACCATTCTTAAAAGCGCCGATAAGGGAATAGAGAATTCTTCAGCTCCGTGGTTGCTGGGTAAGTTATCTAACGGTCACTTCTATGTTACATCACTCACGTATACATTGCCACTGGCTTTATAAGTTACCTTTAGAATTTACTTGTACAAAATAACTAGAATATCTTTGCAATGGAAACCCATGAATAATGGAAGGCAAAAAAAAAAAAAACGTGGAGAAGGGAATTGTGGAATGACGTTAGAAAAATGGAAAGGAGATGGGGAGAGCTGCATGCGATACAAAGTATATAACGACTTGGCGTGAGTTGGTTGAGGGCCTATGCTCCATTAGGGCTTAGAAAGGCAGAAGAAGAAGGTATAAGTCAAAGTAAAGGACCTTTTCCACGCCTTTCAGGCGTATTGGGTTTATAAGGTTTATAAATTGTATAGACCACACAGCACTTTGTGAATGATGTAGTCAGCATCACGTCGTCCGACTTTACTTCCCAGGACTGTATCTGGTACCCATTCAAGGCTGGGTCGACCTGGGAGCCAACGCCATTTTTTTAAAATCTGGCCCTCATCAGGAACCGAACCAACCACCTTCCGATCCTCAGTCGAGCGTCTATCCGCTAGACCAGGCGGCTCCCTTCTTCAAGGTAGATCTGTAAATTACATATACTGTTTATCTGTGTAGGTTATCTCCGGATTGTGCTGAATTTAGGTATAAGCTAAAAACAAAGCTACAGCTAAGGGCCTCATAATCTCTGGGGCCTCGACGAATGCCTTTTCTTCCCGCAGTTTTTTTAAATATATTTTAAAGGGAGAGCCGCCGTGGTGTAACGGCTAGACGCTTGCCTGCGGAACAGAATGTGGTGGGTTCGAGACCTGACGAAGCCGGTTTTTTACAAAGAAATGATCTTGATTGCCAGATACAGTCCTGGGAAGTAAAGGGTCTGGCGTGACGCTGACCATATCAGCCACCAAGTGCCGATTGTTCTATAAAATGTATTCTAGCCCTATGTGCCCAGTGTGTCTTATAGGCGTGGAAAATGGTCCTTTATTTCTTTTCACATTTTTTTAAAAATTTTAAATGCAAGTATAGTTAAGATATTGTAGTAGAAAAGAGTCGGCTCTGTGGCTAAGTCGATGCGAACGTAATGCCGAGATACCGGGTTCGTTCCCAGCTGCGGGCCATGCGCCTTGCGTTGGTTTCGACAGTGGTATCAAAAAGTCGACCGTCCAAACAGCAATGGCAAACTACTAGACGTAAATTTGCCTAGAAAAACCACACAACAGCCAGGGGCTGTTGGGGTTAGTTCTGCAACGTCCTGTAAAGGATACGCAACTTACCTGAGTAGAAAAGAGCTTCTTATCCCTTAAAGCCAAAGTGTCCGATTAATGTCTGCCGATATCTCTCTGCCAGCTGCTAAAGTCTACAAATGTCCGATGAACCAACCATTAGCTTGTCACTCTGGTCGTGAAGAAAGTCAACTGATTTGCTAACTCAGAGACAATATAACACCAAATCTCACAGCTTCTTCTTCTTCTTCTCTCTTCCACCTTGTACCTCATAGAAGTGTCTGGGGGAGAGGTAATGTTCGTTGATGAGCTCTGTCAAGAGCACTATAAAGACTGATGTTCATTTATGTAAGGCTGTTCTTAATGCCATCCCTCCTTATTTTCCCAGGTCTTCCACTCGCTCTATACCCGTTGTAACGTTTTAGTGTGGCTCGCTGTGGCAGATAGTACCAGGGCATTCTTGTTAGGGGTCCAAACCATTTCATTTGTTGTTCTTTGATGGTCTGTAAGACTGGCTTTATTCCTAGCATTCGTCTGATTTCATGATTTCGTATTCTGTCTTTCCTTGAAACTCCTGCAGCTCTTCTAAAGCATTTCATCTCTGTTGTCACAATCTTACGTTCATTGGAGGATTAAGTGTCCACGTTTGGCATTGATAGCATAGTGTTGGCCAAAAAATAGTTCTGTAAAGATTCACTTGAATGTTGAAAGTCACCATATCGTCTTGTCCATATCGAGTCCGATGAAGTAAGTGCAGCAGGGGAAGATCGAGACCTGGAGACATGACCCAAGTCAGGCCCACCTTCCGAGATTGTATAGGAAGCAATGGACCGAAACAATTGTCGACGAAGAATCTTTCTACTGATGAACGGTCGGAACCTGCTGTACCTGCTCTCATGTGGAGTTCGTCTTATTTTATAACCCTCCCCTTTTTTTGTTCCAATGCTTTCCGCTGTAATTTATGAATTAATCAAGTAACAGAAAGTGTATTGATCGGCACTCATAGAAAGAAGTAGACAGATAGAAGAACACACTAGACAACATAAAAGTCGAAAGCTATAGTTACCGTGCCGGGAATCGAACCCGTCACCCCCAGATGGCGTCTGCGCCTCGCCGTGGATGCAAGTGCACTAAGAACATGGTCAACTAGGCACTCCTCCCCCCCCCCTCCCAAAAAAAGGTGTCTTATTGGCCATGTCTATCGTACAACTTGAAATCCACAACTATGGAATACGGACAGAATTCATTTCAACCCATTGAAATGGCACCATAGGTTACAGAAATTTATATTAACGTAGCATATGTCAAATAACAATCACCTTTTAGAGGGTTATATAATTCGTTTGATCCTACACACACATTCTTCATTATTTATTTCAATTAAAATTAAACGACAATATATCACCATTATCAATTTATTTGAAAGGTATATACTCTGTGTGTTTCAATGTTTTATGATACTAACTAGTGTAATTTTAAAATAGAAGGGGCCTCAGCGCTTTATATAGTTTAGGGTCTTCTCAAATCTAAAGCCGATCCTGATTCTATGAATGACCTCTACAAGTCTTTATATCATACTCAGCTTTTCAAGCTTTCCATTTTCTTTTAATTTTTTTTTTTTTTTGCATAAACTGTGCTACATCCTCACTACTTCTATGCCATGTGTGGCCAGAGGAAAACTGGATAAAAAAATTAGGGAAAAAAACCCATCCAAAATTAAAAAGACGGTCAAGAAAAAACAATTAAAAAAAATAAAATAAAAGGGGGCACGCCCAGCTAACGCACATACACATGTACGATGCGAAAACACACAAGCACAGCAAGATCTTAAATGGATGACCCTGAAAGGGGCCTTGTTGTGGGAGCTCAGTGGCAAGCTTGACGACTTCGATGTGGTGTACCAGGGAGCAGCCTCAGGCAAAATCAGGGACAGCGAGTTCGGCAACTAGCAAAAAAAAAAAAAAAACTAAGAAACCGGATCAATAACAGAAGACAGATAAAAAAAAAAAACTCACGCAGACAAAAAGGAAAGGCAAAAAATAGAAAATCTGAAATCAAGGCACATCCAAACGCCTCAAAAAAACACAACGACCAAGAGTCGGCTATTAAACACGGACTAGATATAGTCACCGCTCAACTAAGGAGCAAATTGAAGGAGTCAAGGAGTTTTATTATTTGTGTTTATAAATATCAATCCATCCATGAAAAGTCATTACTTTTGAAATGAGCTTGAGCAAACTGCACAAAAATAAGCCAATAAAACGAATTCACACGCACAACTCAGGCCCTGATACAAGGCTAAACGGACGAACAACCGGGACTTTCCACGAGAGCTTACAGACAGTGAACAAAGAAGAAGAAGAAGAAGAAGAAGAAGAAGAAGAAGAAGAAGAAGAAGAAGAAGAAGAAGAAGAAGAAGAAGAAGAAGAAGAAGAAGAAGAAGAAGAAGAAGAAGGAGAAAAAGAAAAATAAGAAGAAGAAAAATGAAGAGGTGGAGGAGGAGGGCGGAGGAGGAGAAAGGATGAGGATAATGAAGAAGAAGAAGAAGAAGAAAAAGAAGAAGGAGAAGAAGAAGAAGAAAAAGAATAAGAATAAGAAGAAGAAGAAGAAGAAGAAGAAGAAGAAGAAGAAGAAGAAGAAGAACAAGAAGAAGAAGAAGAAGAAGAAGAAGAAGAAGAAGAAGAAGAAGAAGAAGAAGAAAAAAAAAGAAGAAGAAGAAAGAAGAAGAAGAAGAAGAAGAAGAAGAAGAAGAAGAACAACAACAAGAAGAAGAACAAGAAGAAGAAGAAGAACAAGAAGAACAAGAACAAGAAGAACAAGAAGAACAAGAACAAGAAGAACAAGAAGAAGAAGAACAAGAAGAACAAGAAGAAGAAGAAGAAGAAGAAGAAGAACAAGAAGAACAAGAAGAACAAGAAGAACAAGAAGAAGAAGGAGAAAAGGAAAAAAAAAGAAGAAGAAAAAGGAAGAGTTGGAGGAGGAGAAAGGAGGAGGAGAAAGGATGAGGATAATGAAGAAGACGAAGAAGAAGAAGAAAAAGAAGAAGGAGAAGAAGAAGAAGAAAAAGAAGAAGAATAAGAAGAAGAAGAATAAGAAGAAGAAGAAGAAGAAGAAGAAGAAGAAGAAGAAGAAGAAGAAGAAGAAGAAGAAGAAGAAGAAGAAGAAGAAGAAGAAGAAGAAGAAGAAGAAGAAGAAGAAGAAGAAGAAAGAAGAAGAAGAAGAAGAAGAAGAAGAAGAAGAAGAAGAAGAAGAAGAAGAAGAAGAAGAAGAAGAAGAAGAAGAAGAAGAAGAAGAAGAAGAAGAAGAAGAAGAAGAAGAAGAAGAACAAGAAGAAGAAGAAGAAGAAGAAGAAGAAGAAGACGAAGAAGAAGAACAAGAAGAACAAGAAGAACAAGAAGAAGAACAACAAGAAGAACAAGAAGAAGAAGAAGAAGAAGAAGAAGAAGAAGAAGAAGAAGAAGAAGAAGAAGAAGAAGAAGAAGAAGAAGAAGAAGAAGAAGAAGAAGAAGAAGAAGAAGAAGAAGAAGAAGAAGAAGAAGAAGAAGAAGAAGAAGAAGAAGAAGAAGAATACTGATTCCAAAGTGTAGGACCCAAGGGATGGTGGGGGAGAAAGGGGAGGTGGTCGGGAGCAGTGGGGCACATTAAAAAAGGTATGTGGTATCACTTAGAAGCATATTAGCATATTAATTGTCATTGATAAACTAAGCATTTTGTTTTATCTCAGTTACCAGATTTGTATGAGCTCCAATCATAAATTTTAACTCCTATCACCTTTTTATCCACTAGGCATGCACAAGAAGTCAATTGAAGCATCAAAAAAGATGAACGAAGAAGACAGCGACTTGTTTGGGAGCGAGACTGGTTCGGAGGGCAAACACCGGGTGAAGGAGGAGAGGAAATCAGAAAGCATCGCGACACTGAGGGCTAAAGCACAAGAACACAGTGCTAAAGTCATGCAAGGAATTCGAGGAGAAGCAGACGGAGATTTCGTAGACATTGCGAACAACCTAGGTCAAAAACAATACGACATGAGCGATTCCTTACAGCGAAGAAATGGAATCTGCTAAAATGTGTTTGTTGTGGTTGTCTTTACAGCATTTGACGTCTTTACAAATTTGAACAAAGAAGACACAAACAATAGATTGCACAATTTATTGCCTGGCATATTTCGCTGTATCTCTTCAGGTGCATACTACAGTAAAAATTACATAAAAGAAGCAAATAAGTGAATCCTTTATATCTGAAGTACAATTTCAACAACGATCAAACATGACTGCTGTTTTTACCAGGGCAGCCGTAAAGAAAGAACCATATCTTTCTGAATACAGAGTTCCTGGCGCAGGTGACGAATCGCGGAAGCTTCAGGAAATCTTAACGTTCTGCCATTGGTTGACGTATGAAGGATTTGAAATGAGTTATTTTTAGTCACCACATGTCCAGATTTTAGAAGATGACATGCTATTGCAGAGGGATCTTTACAAATGCGAACTTCGTTGAAATTTCAGACAGATAAGATCAAAAAATCACTATGACATAAGCGATACATGAACTATACTAAAGTATGTGTTTGTTGTAGTGATCTTTATACCAGGTGACCGACTTAATGTCTTTATAAATGCGAACTTCGTAGACATGGCAACTAACCTGGATCAAAAAAAAATGTGACGTGAGTTGTTCATCACAATTTTTGAGATTAGTCTCATTTACCCAAAGAGTCTCTCTGCGCGTAAAGAGATCGTTATATTCCTCACAGTGGAGAAATAGCGTTTGCTAAAGTGTGTGTTTATTGAGTGCTCTTTACAACATTATCCAGTTTTTTATGTTTTTTAAGCATAAATTGTGTGTAAAGTGAAGCCTGGATGTAAAAAAAAAAAAACAGGACCCGTGTGAAGCTTTACACTACAGCAGAGAAATGGCATCTGCTAAGATGAGTTTCAACTTTGTTGGCCTTTGCAACAGTGTGTTACGATGGCTTTACAAACAGGAATTTTGTTGAAATGCCAGAAAACAAGGATAAAACAGAATATGACGTCATTTACTCTTACAGCAGAGAAATAACATCTGCTAGGATGTGTTTTTACTGTTATGGTCTTCAACAATGAGTAAGTTTCAATTTCTGTACACTTAAGAAGTGAAAAAAGCGTTCTGCATCGGTACATTTGTATATATAATAAATGTAAACAAGAACAACAACACTCCTTGCTAAACCGCAAGTATTATGGAGATCTAGAAAACATTGCATTTTAACCAACTATTGACTGCTTACATCACTATTCATCAGTAAATGTACACAGAACTTAGCATCCAAACATGAAAGAAGACTACAAGCTTTGGAAAATGAAATGGTTTCTAAAGATCCTTGGTATTCTAAACAGATACCATATCACAGATGACGAAGTTCGACGTATCAACATCCAGCATAATCGGGCACTCAAGGGAAATAACTTCAGATTTTGTGATTATGGCGTCGGTTTTTAACAGGACGTAGAAACCTTGTTTAAAATAGCACAGTTGACATAGAAATGGCAGTGTACATGTGCAAATCTGGCGTTGCTGATGTTCATTGTTTAGAGGGAGTTTTTGTGACAAGAAGACAGGTGGATTTTGTGTTTTAGATTATTGCAACTGTGAACCGTTTTTATCAGTATTGAAAGACGAGAAGTGCTGTAGTATAAACCTGTAACGTTCAGAAATGACCTTAGCTCCTAGGTCGACTCAGCCTTGAGAGAATACCGGGTGCGGTCCTAGGAAGTAAAGGCGGCCGGCGTGATGCTGACAGATTTCCCATGTTGTGCAGATTAGTCTATAAAAATATAGGTCTAGCCATTTAACCCTATATGCCTAAAGGCGTTGAAAACCACTTTTTTTAACATAGACCTGTGACAAGACCTAAAATCCTCCCCAGGGCTCTGTAGAATGAAGGACAAGATATGGCTGAATAAGAACTAACTGAACCAATCGTTAAATTTATTGAGAAGCAAAGAATGAAATGGTTTGGTCACCTAATGAGAATGGAACCAACGATGCCAGCATCAAGAGCATACAACATGAAAATCGAAACACCAAGAGGCAGGGGAAGACCAAGAAGAAGATGGATTGAAGGAGTCACGGACAACTTGAGACTTCATAAAATCACGGCATATAAAGCGACTGAGCGCGCCCTGGCTCGGTTGCCGATCATCTGATAGACTGCGACGCCCAGCGGCACAAGCAGATTTTGACAAAAGAAGAAGAAGTACACACAATGTAGATGATTTGACCGGCCTTTAATATGTAAACATCAAATCCACTTCATTTGATTGACAGAGCTAGAGGAAATTGATCAGGGTGATTCGCAGACCGAGCTATAGATAAACATTTCTTAAATGGGACAAGTGTCATCCGCTACAAAACAAACATTTTTTTAGCCTTAGAGAAATAACACGTGCTAGACTAAAAGTTTATTTACAGTGGCGAAATGACATAAGATTAAACAAAAAACTGTGTGAAATATAAGCCTAATAATTGTTTGTTGTTGTTGTTGTTTTTCAAAACCGATAAAAACATTCAGCTAGAGATAAATACTTTTTCTATGAACGAAATTACATGTACTAGAGATAAACATTTCTTGTATGGGAGTAATAACATGTTCTAGAGATAAACATTACAATTACAGAGGCATCTCCCTTCTAAGCCACGTAGGAAAAATGTTTGCTAAAATTCTGGAACAACGAATTAGATCCGTTGTAGAACCGATCCTGAGCCCATCACAGGACGGATTTAGGAAAGAAAGAGGGTGTACTGACGCTATTTTTGCTTTAAGACAAGTTAGCGAAAAGACAATAGAACACAAACATCAAATGAACATCGCTTTCATAGATCAAGAAAAAGCTTTCGATAGAGTAAACAGAAATTTATTATGGAAAGTTCTTGAAAACTACGGTATAAATGGAACAATTTTAGATTGTGTTAGGGCTATTTATAGAAAAAGTGAAAGCGCCATTAGAACAAGAGCTGGCATCACAGACTGATTCCCAGTAACATCAGGAGTAAGACAAGGTTGTGTATTATCACCTTTACTTTTCATAATATTTATGGACAAAATTAATAAAATAGACATAACACCAACAGATGTTGATAAACAGGAGGACTTCAATGAGCTGCTCTTTGCCGACGATCAATGCATATTTCACAGTGATAGTAAACAGCTGCAAGACCACATGAACCTACTACACGACATTTGCCTCAAGCATCATATGAAGATCAATGCTGAAAAGACAGAAGTCATGAGCATAAGCAGAGAGCAACAGACCATCGACATAAAGATTCTAGATCACAGCCTAAAACAAGTGCAAGAATTTAAATACCTGGGAAGTATCTTTACATCCAATGGTAAAATAGACAGAGAGATTGAAGCAAGAATCCAACAAGCCAACAATGTCGCATACCAGCTGGCCCCAATTTTAAAACACCCTGCTGTCCCAGCTGAGATAAAAAGACAAATTATAAATACAATCTTTATACCGACATTAGGTTATCAATGTCAGACTTGGACATTAACAAAAGAACACGAGAGAAAACTAACCACCTGTGAAATGAGATGTTTGAGAATGGCTGCGAATAAAACCAGAAGAGATCTAGCGAGAAACGATGTGATTACAAGAACTATTGGAACCATACCCATCGTTAAATTTATTGAGAAGCAAAGAATGAAATGGTTTGGTCACCTAGTGAGAATGGAACCAACGATGCCAGCATCAAGAGCATACAACATGAAAATCGAAACACCAAGAGACAGGGGAAGACCAAGAGGAAGATGGATTGAAGGAGTCACGGACAACTTGAGACTTCATAACATCACGGCATATGAAGCGACTGAGCGCGCCCTGGCTCGTTTGCCGATCATCTGATAGACTGCGACGCCTAGCGGCACAAGCAGATTTTTGACAAAAGAAAGAAGAGATAAACATTTCTTGTATGAAAAAAATGACATGTGCTAGCGATAAACGTTTATTGTATGAGAGGAGTAAAATTTACTGGGGCTGAATTTTTCTTATATAAGAGAAATGACATGTGTTACAGTTAAACATTTCAATTGTGAGAGAAACTACATTTGGTAAAGATAAACCTTTCAGTTATCAGTGAAATGACTTGTGCTAAGGACAAACATTTTAATTATTTGTAAAATGACATATGCTAGAAATAAAAATTTCAATTGGGGTGAAATGACCTGTGCTAGAGATAAACATTTCAATTATGGGTGAAACAACATGTGCTAGAGATAAACATTTCAGTTATGTGTGAAATGACATGTGCTAGTGAAAAACATTTCAGTTATGTGTGAAAGGACATGTGCTAGAGATAAACATTTCAATTATGGGTGAAATGACATGTTGCTAGAGATAAACATTTCAGTTATGTGTGAAATGACATGTGCTAGAGATAAACATTTCAATTATGGGTGAAATGACATGTGCTAGAGATAATAATTTCAGTTATGTGTGAAATGACATGTGCTAGAGATAATAATTTCAGTTATGTGTGAAATGACATGTGCTGGAGATAAACATTTCAATTATGTGTGGAATGACATGTGCTAGAGATAAACATTTCAGTTATGTGTGAAATGACATGTGCTAGAGATAAACATTTAAATAATGGGTGAAATGACATTTGCTAAAGACAAATATTGCAGTAATGGGTGAAATGACCTGTGCTAGAGATAAACATTTCAGTTAAGGGTGAAATGACATGTGCTAGAGATAAACATTTCAGTTATGGGTGAAATCACCTGTGCTAGAGATAAACATTTCAGTTATGGGTGAAATGACATGTGCTAGAGATAAACATTTCAGTTATGGGTGAAATGACATGTGCTAGAGATAACCATTTTGATTATGGGTGAAATGACATGTGCCTAAGATAAACATTTTAATAATGGGTGAAATGACATGTGCTAAAGACAAATATTGCAATAATGGGTGAAATGACATGTGCTAGAGATAAACATTTCAGTTATGGATGAAATGATTTGTGCTAGAGATTAACATTTCAGTTATGGATGAAATGATTTGTGCTAGAGATTAAC